GATCCTAGGCTTCTTCTGTTTAACGGTGATGGGATGCGTCACCTTCTACTCTTACTATCTCATGTCCAAGGTGCTCGAACACTGCGAAAAAGCTGGTCGCCGCCACATACGCTTCCGCGAGCTCGCCGCCGATGTTTTAGGTAAACAACATCATCACCATCTTTCACATCCCCGTCTTCTTGTTATTGCCGCATTTGTTCACTTTTCTCTTCACACTTCAAGTCTGTAAAGAAGAGTTCTTATCGGAAAGCGTAAGAGATTGAATCACTAACCCATTTGAGCCGTTTTCGGGTTTTGGAACTTGCAAAGAGGGTTGACTTCCGGGTTGGCATAATAACGTTACACGTGGCGTTAGTGAATAATTAATTAACAAATACAGTATATTATTTCTCTTGTGGGCATGGAGTCATTGTCTTTGATTTAACGTGAGGAAAACGACTTCCCGTTATAAAATATTAGGTTTACAGTTGATGCGTGTATAGCGGTTATAAATTATTACTTAATAATGACGGTGTATAATTTCATAAATTTGTAAAACTAAAAAGTTTTAAAATTTTAAATTTATGAATTTTTTTAAAAATTTATATATTAATAAAATGATGACATTAACTTAAAGATAACATTTAGAGTTTATAAATTAACCTTGTATCAAATATATAAACAAATAAAACATTCATTCTTATAATTAATCATACAAATTTCAATTATTCATTTAAGCAAATGTTACAACATTCAAGGATGGTTGTGGTGAAGAAATAGGGAAGTTGATGAATATGTAGGAAATTATGTAAACTTATTTAATCGTAACTCATGTTAAACAAATCATAAATAATTGTTATGAAATGAATGACATTGATGATTATCCTATGCTATGTATAATATAAACAATTAAAATGGAAAAAACCAGTCAACTTTGTTTAAAAAAGAACAAGAGCTTTCCATTTAAAATGTGAAACGTTTGTCTAATATGGGAAACTTTTGAATTTGAGTGCATGGTTATGCTTAGCATGATAAACAGTGGTACTCCAAAGTCAACAACAGAATGAGTTTCGGCATGATTAGTGATAGAGGGCAATCATTTTTTGTGCGGAAATAGCACCCTTTGCAAAAATGGTGGAGAACCCATTTGTGCAAAGCCAAAGCATGATGATGATGTTCTTCGAATTTGTTGAAAGAATACTGGCATTCATAAAAATCAACCATGTTGGAGTCTAGATGCTAAAGCTTTTTGTGCCTCTTGTTTTTGTCTTGCAGGGTCAGGATGGATGTTTTACTTCGTGATATTTATTCAGACAGTCATCAACACTGGGGTTGGAATAGGAGCAATTTTGCTTTCAGGGCAATGCCTTCAGGTATCATCCGCAAATCTAACTGCGTTACTTCTGAATTTGTGGCTTGTAGGTATTTATTGCAATTGCTTCTGAGGCAATCTAAAGCTAGTCATGGACACCGACAAATTTGGTCTGTTCAAAAACTACTCCTAGTACACAAGTTCTTTCTGCAATGTAAACAGGCTTTGCATTTTTTTCAAGCTTGATGGCTATGATAGGGACCCATCTGTCTGTATTTCAATCACAATGATAGAGATACCATTAATTTCTTGTTCAAATCAGTCCTTCTGTCATTTATTTCACGTCTCCTAGTAAGGTCGGTAGCTCGTTGTGCTTTGTTGTAGGTGACTTTTTGCTATGTATAGGCCACAAAATAAGTCTTCATCAATAAGCATAATTACCTGCATTATAGATTTCCTTAAATGATGTGAAGCGAAAAGGAAAAGGCAAAAGAAAAAAGTTTTCCTTTTAATGAGGAAGGATGAAGTTAAAGGGGTAAACTCGTAGTTGTTGTGGCCTTTGTTTGTCTGGACAACTCTCTTTGTACAGTAATAGCAGGTTTTTCTGCATAACTTTTCTGGTTAATGAAAATATCATACATCCAAAAAAAGAAGAAAAGGACCGACCTACCTTACACCATGATATATGTGACCCCAATTTATTAAGCAGTCCGATTTATAGTTAATTAAATTAGAGATAAATCTTTCCTTAAAAATAAACTTAGAGATAAATCTAATCATTACTGCTTAGTTAGGGAGACTCAGGAGAAAACTTTGGAATAAAAAGCTGCTACTGTTAAGGGTCACTGGCTGTTTGGGATGTCATTACATAAAGTCGGCCTACTTAAGGATGGTTCTTGTTGATATTTTCCTGCAGGGGCATCATAATGTTTTAGATAGAAGAAGTTGAATCTGGATACCAATGTGTTATACTCAACACTGATTATTTCTCTTTATCTTTTGTCATTTTTTTGTTGGAAGATCATGTATTCAAACCTTTCTCCTAGTGGATCCCTGAAGCTGTATGAGTTTATAGCAATGGTGACTGTGGTGATGATAATTCTCTCTCAGCTCCCAACCTTCCATTCCCTCAGGCACCTCAATTTAGCTTCTCTGCTTCTCAGCTTGGGCTACACATTCCTTGTGGTTGGTGCTTGTATCCATGCAGGTACAGAAATCATTGAGCCGCCTTTCAATTTTTCCATAATCTGTTACTGTAAATTCAGGAGAAGATTGAATAAAATGTAAGGCAGTGCACTCATAATGGTCATGACCGCCTCGAAGAAAGAATTGATCATTCTAGAAAATCAGATGGAATTATAAACAGTTTTATCACTAGATCATGACTATTCCTCCCAGGACTATCATTGAATACTTGGCCCAGACTGCAGACAAGGTTGTGACTTGAAATGCCACAATGACATGTCAGTGATTCAATGCTAGGCCCAAAGTGGCCTTGTTTGTTGAATAGACTATAATACTGAACCCAGCTATGGAGCAGGAAGGATACAACTTGCTACTTTGCTAAAGAAGGCATTTGAATTTTGACTTATTGGGCTCCTTAGTAACCGAGGACACACATAGCAAATTTTAATCGCTAGCCTGGTGAGACAAGCCTGTTTTTGATGCTTCAACTTTCCCATAAATAAATTTTAGTTACTGCTTAGATCTTTTAATTAAGCTCCTTGAAGATTATAGTTGAATTTCATGTTTTTTGAAGCTTAACATGATTTTCTGTGTGGAATTGTGGACGGAAGTTTCTTCCATCTCTTGACAATATACAGATATTTCTGTGGCACCATTTTCGGATTTAAACAACTTCTATTAGTCCCGCAGGTCTCTCTAAAAATGCCCCTCATAGGGACTATTCATTGGAACCTTCAAATTCATCAAGAGTGTTTAGCGCCTTCACTTCTATCTCCATATTAGCTGCCATTTTTGGCAATGGGATTCTTCCTGAAATACAAGTAAATTTCAACTCTTACATGAATCTCCATGTTTGATAGGAAGTTTGCTTTGTTGTATGATTCTGAGCTATCTTTCATAAAGATGCTTGCTGGATATTCATTGCTTATGATAGTTGGAATAAACTAGATTACAGATTAACTTGACACTTACTGATTAGTTGTGCTCATGCAGCTGAAGTCCTGAAGTGTTGAAATATAATTTGTTTGATTTCTAATTTTTATCACAACCATTAAACAGCAAATTTGAACTATCATTGCCTCTTGGTTTTTATTTCAACATTGTCTTTGATACAGGCAACTCTGGCTCCACCTGCTACTGGGAAGATGGTAAAAGGACTCATGATGTGCTACAGTGTAATATTTGTTACTTTCTACGCAGCTGCGGTTTCTGGATACTGGGTTTTTGGAAACAAATCTAATTCAAACATATTGAAGAGTCTAATGCCAGATGATGGGCCATCCTTGGCCCCAACAGTAGTTCTTGGCCTTGCAGTTGTATTTATTCTCCTACAGCTATTTGCCATTGGCCTGGTGTGCTCTTGTTCTCAAACAATAGAGAGTGGAGAACTTGAATTCTGTTCTCCATTACCATCTTCAAAATCAGGAAAATATTTTTGCAATGAAGAATTATTGTTGATTCTTTTTTTATTTGCAAAACCTTATTTTAGGTTTCTTTGAGGTAATGTTTATCCAATATAACACAGGTTTATTCTCAAGTTGCATATGAGATCATGGAAAAGCAATCAGCTGATATAAAACAAGGGGTGTTTTCCAAAAGGAACCTTATTCCCAGGCTAGTTCTCCGGACTCTGTACGTGATATTCTGTGGGTTCATGGCAGCAATGCTTCCTTTCTTTGGTGACATCAATGGTGTGGTAGGCGCCATTGGCTTTATCCCCCTAGATTTCGTCCTCCCTATGCTTCTCTACAACATGACCTACAAGCCCCCAAGATCATCCCTTACCTACTGGATCAATCTGTTCATCATGGTTGCCTTCACTGGTACTGGAATCATGGGATCGTTCTCTTCTGTCAGGAAGTTGGTTCTTGATGCCAACAAGTTCAAGCTCTTTAGCAGTGATGTGGTCGATTAAGCATATGCGTAAACCACTAAACAGGTCTGCTCTGAAACTCTGGAGCGAATGGATGATGAAGCCCTTTTGGCCCGGCTGAAGTGTACAATAATTGTCAATGAGCATTTGAGTTGAGACGGTTTGTAGTTGGGGCCTAGTGGTTGTTATCTCTCGTTAAAATTTAAGGTCTAACGTTTGAATCCCCTCGCCCTCGACTTCCTCATACGTATCCAAATAAAGACATTTCAAGCTTATGCTCCTGTTCTGAATCAGATCAGAACTGGAGTTGGCACACTGCAGGAGAAAATAGTAATTGAATTTGCTATTCAACAGTGTAAGAATGGTAATCTTGGATTACCATCTTTAATTTCTTCCAACATTCCTCTCTTTTCTTAAATACAATTACAATGCAATTTCTCTCTCTCTTGCTCATCCATTTTCATCTTCCAACTTACCTCTCTCACCAAACACCAACCACACACCATTATTAGGTTTGTGGTCAAATTCCAAAGCTCACAAATCATGGATCACGATTTTCCTAATTCCCACAATCATGGGATTTGCTGTACACGTTTTAATAGTTGTGAACATTAAAAATACCGACGTTTTGTTCACATCATAAGCTCTGCTGTGCTTGTCAATCATACAAGATTGTATTCTTATATTATAAAAATCTTTTATTATCAGTTTTAATATTGTCCTCATCTCTGCAACGTTGTGCCCTCTTGGAAGCCCATTTCTCTTTGCCTTCTTAACTATAAGCCTTATTAAAATCTTTTAACATTATCACCATCATTTCCCCTTGAGCTTATGCTTGGGGTGGGTCAAGTACTCAATATACTATATAAGAAAAACAAAACTAAAGCGTGTAGAAAACAGAAGGCATTATTGGAAAAGACAGTGTTTAAAATGAAATGCTTCCCTTAGGCTCGTAATTACATTCTTCTACCAAACTGAAACCTTCTTCATTAAAGGGACATTTGCTTCTGCATCTGCAATATCATCTTTGGGGTATTTTGGATGATGATGGGCAGATGACAGCAGCACCAAGTTTACTTGATGTGGAAGTTTCTTCCATTCTGTAAATGTATTGATTTTAAATTTAGTGCCATTAAAGTAGTAATAAATGCATGATTGATGTGACAGAAAAGCAGATTAATGTGACGTTGCATAGATTGTAGCCATGTATGCTTTTTCCTTTTAACTGCACACCTGGTAAAGGAAAAAGTAGAAAAGTCAAAAACCAAGGTACGATTCCAGAAACCTGGAACCTGTGTTGAATCCCGATTTCTTCTCATATACATAGGAAGCTTTTGTTTTGAAGCTGTGTTCTTTTATTCTTGACAACTTATCCGAGATCCTCTTGCCAGCAATAAACAACAGAAAAATAATTTTATAATTATAATTAAGCTAAACAAAAAGCCAAATGCTTTGATTAGTGAGGTGAGGACCACGGCTGATGGGTTGTCTATATATATATATATATATAATAGATGTCAGCAGTTGTATTATTCACACCAATCGCTAGGACACAATATTTCAATGATGTCCTTGACAAAAATTAAAAAGAAAGAATATTGAACAGAGATAACAAGTTAACAACTGTTCAATCCGTGTACGTAGGGTCAAAGGAGACTAAGATATGAGGATGGAGGGGGAAGTGTCATTAACAATAAGTTCCACATTTTTTTAGTGCCCTTGAATTGGATGTGAAACCATATTCTTTTCTGAGGATTGAAAAATATTGAAAATTTGAGAAAACATTTCAATATGTGTTATTTTGGGTACTTTAAGTTAAATTTAAAGATTTTTATAAAGGAGTTATTAAATATTAATACATAAATTAGATTTAATGGACCGCAAATGATTGGATAAAACCATATAATTAGAAAGAACAATATTGAGCGACCCACAGCATAGGAAGAGGATCATAATCAAATTATTTAGTTTAAAAATTAATTTGTAATATTAAAAAAAATAAAAGTATTAAAAATAAAACAAAAAAATATTATTTTGTACGAAACGGCTAAACCCATTAAAAGACACAATTGATGGAAGATAATGTCAGCTTCCTGTGAAATTTAACAGCACGTTGTTATGACATACATATAACTGTTTTTGGTCATATCATTAGAATGAGAAGCTGAGAAAAATTTAATTATCAGACAAAGAATGTATGATTAAGGAGTGTTCAAAGTTTCAAAGATGCTAAATTAATCTGAAAATTATGGTAAGTTTTAATTAATTTACTGTGCAATGAGATTAGATAGAAATTAAATAAGTTTGGAAAAATCTCTCTCCAAGACTCCAACCATCCTTCAATAAATGCAGTCTTCACCATACGGAAAGCTCTCTCCCATATTTAATGGCCCATATGAAAAGACCGTGAACGCAGTAACGTACTCTGGTTTTTTGGGTCATAACTAACGCGTTTGATTGCACCAACCAGTAGAAAATCAAGCAAAGAAGGCTTTTGTTTTTTTTTTTTACCCCCTTTTTCTGTCCAATCTGTACACTTATATAGAAACCTTTCTTTTTCTCTCTTACCTTTTTGGTTTTTGCCCGGCATATCTACCAAAAACTATGGAGAAATCCCAAGCACAAAAGCAGAAGCAAACCCAAGACACCAAAAAGGAAGAGGAAAAACCTCAAGAAGTGAAGCAAAGCCAAGCCCAGAAAGCCAAACAGAAAATACAGAAGACCCAAGAAGGCAAGCATCTTGTATGGGACTGTGGTAGCACTCTTTATGACTCGTTTGAACTCAACTCTTTCAAGCGTCAACTGGACTCAGCAATCCATTCGAGAACCATGTCCATGCCTCATTTGGTCGATACCCGAGCTCCCCCTCCCCCACAGTCTACTCTTCCTCCTCCGGTAGTTCCCAAGAAGCAGCTTTCAAAGTTCTCTCGCTCGATTCAGAAACTCTTCAAATCCATGTTCAAGTTCAAACAGAGTTCAAGTTCTTCCGTCTTCTGGCTGAAACAAAGATCGCACGAGGAGTACTACGTGGTCTACGACAAGACGGGTGCACTGACAACGATCCCCGAGGTTCCGGAGATTGATTTTGGAGGGCTTTCGCCAGAGATTAACTCGTTGGTTGTTAAGAGAACTGCATCCGAAAGGTTCACCGCAGCCTCCACTGTCGGTATTTCATGTGCTTAATATATACAAAAATATAAAGAGGCTTATACAGAATATATATATATATGAATAACGAAGATGTGATCAAATAGTTTGTGTATATTTTGATCATATTGCTTTTAAGTTTTTTTTAGGATGTTTTCTTCTTAAGGTTACGTTACTTGAAGTTTTGAACTTTGACCCTTTCTTGTCTAAATTCTGAATTGGTTTTCTCAAGATCAATTTGCTCATTTCTTTACTTTTCATTGGTTAAACTTTGTGATTAGCCTCTTGGAATTACTAGTTAATTAATCCCACAGTGGCTTAAGGGATCAAAACTTCTACCTAATCCGGTGACTGCAATTGCTCGAAGCGCGCTATTGTCTTTTTTTTATGAGGTGACCCTCTCAATGGATCCTATGTTTTCCATAGCTTTTCTTGACGTGGCCCAATTGAAACATGTTTTTGTTGCTGAAAAGCCAGAAAGATAATAATAACAATAATAATACTACAAGGGTAGATTCATTTGCTTTATGTATGGGTTCACAATGCATGGGAATTCAAGATTTTTCTTAATTTACAATGCCTATGACCTAAGGAAAACTATGAAAAGACTTGGTTTTAGCCAGTAATGTTTCTGAGTACCTTATCTTCTACTTTGTTTTCTTAAACTATTTTTATAACGATTTTTATATTTATAATATGACAATCTTTTTTATTAGTAAGAGTTTTGTTATTGCGAAATTGAAATGAACCCAATATTCTAAAAGTTTTAAATACTTAATTAATCTATGGCCAACATTTATAATTTCTGAAATAATTGTTAACTGTTACTTATTAAACAATTTTTATAGAAGTATATATTGAAAGGAAATATATAGGATTCTATTCTCCATGTCCCATACTCACATATGCATGTGTGGCACAAGACAGCTGAAGTAACTGCTTTGCTTAATGGCGAACAAAGTTAGAAGCTAACAACAATGTGTCAATCAAGTTCTTCATCTGTTAAGTGGCCAATATTTCTTTCTTTACTTCTTGATTAGTTTTTTCCATAAAAGCAGCTAGCTTTTGGTTCAAACAAAAGTCAAAATAGACACTCTTTATTTATTTATTTATCTATTTTTTATTTGTATTATTATTATTATTATTTGTGTGTAGTTGTTGATGGGCAATACTTGATGTATATTAATGATTTGTGCTGTCATTTGAATAGGGAGTTCATTGTCACTCAGATGGTTGATTTGCTTTTCCGTGGGTTCTTCCCTTTTAAATTACCTTGAGAGAAGGGAACTATCTCATGAAGCAAAGTTAAAGGTTCCACCTGTGTGTCTTGGTAGGTAAAAATTAGGAGTGGGTGTGACAACCGACCACCACCCAAAATTGTTGGCCTTACCCATTTCCATCCATCTCTCGAAATTGACCGTTAACGCTAAACACAAAGAGAAGCTCAAGATATTTTCACATTAGGTGATGATAAGTGAAAATGATAACAATTTGGGCTCCCAATTTACAACCAAATGTCCAAATTTGCATGTGTAGCTCAAAGCTAAGATAGATAACTACATATGTGATAATTGAAGCCGTTTGGTTTGGTAGTCTTCGATTCAACTTTCAACGGTGTCGTATTAAATTAAATACCCATATGAGTAGCCATGGTTATATAAGGGAGGGAGAGAGGGAGGGAAGGAAGAAAGGAAGAAAATGTAAAGGGCCGGTAAGTTAAGATTTCATGGGCCTCAAAATTAGGCTTGGAAAATAATATCATGGTCTAAGCCTAATGATTAGGTTGCTTTTCCAAGTTCACAATGGTAAGATGGATTGCATGTTTGCCGTAAGTATTACCAATGTTTTGAATTGTAATTTTGTGTTCTTTCACGTGCAATGTGATATATGAAGCACTATACACTTGTAAAATGTATAACTATATGAATTACTATTTAGAATTCTCCATGTTCCTCATCATGAAAGATGTTTTTTTCTGCCAAGGCTCATGTTTGTGATGTGTGTCTTTCATGTCATGTACGATCACCACATTTCAATGAGGCTAATTATTGTTCATGTTTTCAGTGAGATTGATTTTCAGACATTAATAGAGCTCATCTGAATCGGTCGGTTGTTCGTTACAGTAAATAAGGTGATGAATCCCATGACCCCACGCTATTATTGCGTTCCCTTTCATGCAAAGAAAGAGTGCACTGGAGAATAGGTGGAGGGTTTTATCACGAAGAGTGACTATTATTTTTTCAAAATAATTCTAAAAGAACAATAGTATTATTTTCTTCCACAAACAAATAGCGTGAAAATCAACGTTCACTTAGACATAAAACTCACATGATTACATATAATGTGGAGATAATAAATAACAGATTTATAAATTTTTTTAATTGTTAAGGTAATTGATATTTTCATATTTTTACATTACAAAAAATGGAACTTACTTCATTTTAATAAATAATATAACCAAAAATTAATTTGGAAAAATGAATTAAACTTCCTTCAGAACAATCCGTTAAAGAAGTTCACTCAAAATGGGCTTTGTACGCATAGTTTGGGTCGAATGTGGCCCATTCGGGCATTTCCTTTTTGAATATTTTGGACATGCCCCCGAAGTTGACGGGTCCAATATTCCAACTCAAATTAAATTCCCAGGTTGCGGTAACTCTGGACCACTGTGTCTCAGAGCATTAGCAGGGCTTGCCCGAATTAACGTTAGCCGAAAAAGGAAAAATGTTTAACTTCCGCTGCCTATCTTGTCTGCTTCATCGTTTTGTATGTTTCGATTTTCCGTTGTGGGTGTTGTAATAATTATGCTATTCCGTTTTGGCTTTGCCTTTGTCTGATTCGTCCAACATCCAATGTGATGCCCATGGTTGCGTTTTCCCACGTTGGATTTGTCTTTGCCTAGCAATCCTTTCCATGGTTTTTTCGAGGTAAACTTTACATTGACCTTTTTTAAAACAGTTAGCGTTACTGTTATATCTTCTCTCTCTCTCTCTCTCTCCCTCTCTATATATATATATATATATATATATATATATATATATATATATTGGCAAATATGCCTAACATATTTTCTATATATCATGCTTTTTAGACCGTAATAGCCAAGAAACTTAGGATTAATTGTTGCGAATTAATGTTGAAAATATGATACAATATATACCAATATTTTATGGGCAAAAATCGGTGATTGTGTTCAATTTTTATAATTCGTGTGTGAGAGATTTGAACATAATTAGAGTTCGCATTCTTTTTATTAACAAACAGTAATTAACTTTTTAATTGAATTTCATGAACAAGACTTTATGGTCAAAATCGTTTCCTCCTATTAAGTTATTAATTGGCAGGAAAGAAAGATAATGGTGATTTAATGCACAAGGCTCGTGTTTGTTTGTGAATTTTCTCTTGTGTTTACATGGCTTTGTGTAAGAAACTAAAGATCAGTGGCCAAGTCAATTTTCTAAGACAACTCAAAGTGAAATGCTGGCATCATCAATGTACTCATTCGTCAGTAAATATAATCAAATTAAAATCTTGAACCTTCCACACTTTCTTCGTCTCTCTTCCTCCACAATGTTAGAAATTTGAGAATAATGAAAAAAATTGGTTTGAGGCCGTCATGAAGAACAATTTTTTAAAAGATTATTATGTTTTTAGGATTTAATAAAATTTCACAAATTTCCCAGCAATAGTAATAAAATACTTAATAAAACACATATTCGCTTATAAAAATATTTTTTGATGAATAAATTCAAAAAAGTTTCTCCATTATTGTTTAATGTAATTTTTATTGGTAAAATAAACACAACTTTTTCATTTTAATGAAAAAAAGTAATATTTTATAATTTATTTTTAATTTAATTTATAAAAATTATATTAATTTCTATCGATCTTAAATTCTAAATATAAAATTTAAATAAGTCTATAAATCACAATTCATGTTTTCAAACTAAAAGATATATATGATAGATGATAAAATATTCATATTTATATATTAAAGAGTCATATCATGTTTTATTAATATGAGATTCGTGATATTTTATCTCAACAACGTACATTATAAATTACAAATTCATATTCTCAATTCAAAAAACATATCTTATAACCAAAAGTGAAAGGAGAGAGCTAATATGACTCTTGCCCTAAATTTTCAAAATTTTATATTTTTTTTCTTCAATTTATTTTAAATTTTTACTTTTACTTTTTATAAATTTTATAATTTCACTTCCTTAAATATTAAATTTTTTATTTTCGTTGACCTAAAATCTTGCCTCCGCCTCCAATCTACTTGCCATAATTCTAGCCCCTTGGGCCTTCAATCCTTCAGCTGAATGTCTCAGATTTTACAACCAAAAGCCACCATGGAAAACTCGCAGGAGCCATCCGTCCATGTAGCCATGGTGCCGAACCCTGGCATGAGTCACTTGATCCCACTTGTTGAGTTGGCCAAGCGACTGGCTCACCAGTACCACAACTTTGAAGTAACCATCATCGTCCCCGATGATGGTTCACCTATGAAAAACCAAAGACAACTCCTTCAAGCCTTGCCCAAATCAATAAATTTGCTTACTTCAAAATTTAATTTATTAATTAGTATATAAAATTTTTACTTAAAAATTAAAAATCTCTCTTTCTTTATTTTTTTTTTAAAAATTTCAAATTTACACATATTACTCAAAACTAAAATAAATAACTACTTAATAATTGAGTTTTCGATTCCATGTTCAACATGCTATGTTCAATTAAATACCTATATGAGTAGCCAATGGTTATATAATGAGGGAGTGAGAGAAGGAAGGACGAAAACGTGATTGGCTGGTCAGGCTCGGAAAATAGTAACATGATCCAAGCTTGATAATTAGGTTATTTCACTCTACATAATACGAAAATAAATTGCATATTTATCATTTCTCTTGGATTGTACATATTACCAATATTTTGAAATGTAACTTTGTGTTTTTTCACGTGCAATGTGATACATGAAGCACTTACCATAAGCATTTACATTTGTAATATATAACAAACTATATATAGTGTTATTTAGAGAATTCTCCATGGTCCTCATGAAAGATTAAGATTAGCTTTTGGTTTTTTTTGTAGAGGCTCATGTCTGTGATATGTGTCCTGCATGTCATGTACGATCACCACATTTCAATGTGGCTAATTATTATGGCTTTATATAGAACTCATCTGAATTGGTCGGTTCGTTCGTTATAGTAAATAAGGTGATGAACCCCATGAACCCCTGCTATTGTGACATGGCCTTTCACACAAGAAACAGTACACTAGGGACTATGGGGGGCTTCAAATGGGCTTTGTATACATATTTTGGGTTGTATGTGGTCCATTCATTCATTTTCTTTTCGAAGTATTTGGACTTTCCGCCTAAGTTCAAGGGTCCAATATTCCAACTCAATCCTGGGTTAGGCTTCTTGTTAGGCTAGCCCATCAGTAACAATGGGCTTCAGTTTGTATGGACCACTCTCTGTCTCAGAGTCTTACCAGGGCTTGCCCGAATTCACTTGAGCCCGAAAAGGAAAAATGTAGAACTACCGCTACGTATCTTGTCTGCTTTACGTCTGTTCTTTTGTCCGTTTCGATTTCCATTTTGTGGTGTCATAATTATGGGTTTCACTTTTGGCAACAACGAACGTGGTGCCCACGGTTGCGTTTCCCACGTTGCATGTCCATCGTTGCCTAGCAACTCATGTTTATATTGGGGTCAACTTTAAATTGTCCTTTTGAAAACCTTTGGACTTACTTATATAAGTATTGGCAGATTTGCCTAACATCTTTTCTATATGTATAGAACATACCTTTTGGACCATAACAACCAGGCAACTTCTATAAAGTAAGCACTATACCAATAGCGTTTTCCATGATTCACGTTTTCTTTTGAAACACATGAGCACTTCGTGGAAGATCCACAAGATTAATTGTTGTGGTGAACTGATGTCAATAATGTGCTTTGTTAAGGATTTGTATAGTGTTCATACATGAATATATACTAAGATTTTATGGGAAAAAATTAGCAATTGTATTCAAATTTTTATAATCCGTAAGTCAGTAATTTAGACATAAATAGAGTTTAATAGATGTCAATTAATTTTATTGTCAATTTAAAGATGAATTCAGAATTTTACATTAAAAATAATTAAAATATAATTATAAAAATAATTATATTATATATATATATCAAATTATATATATATAATAATAAAAATTTTAAAAATTAAGAGACTCTTTACTCCTTTGACTCCGCTCTTATTAAATCGTTTCATCCTACAAATTATAAATTGATAAAATAAAAAGATTTCTCTTGAAATTACGTGGCTTTATGTAAGAAATCAAAGATCAATGATCAAGTCGATTTTTAAGACAAGTCTGTGTAAAGCGTTGTTCAGGTTCAGTCTTTGATGGATGTCTGGACTTGTGCTGTTTGATAACGCAGAAGCCTGAGGTCATCACTCGTACGTTTGGCTCTCAGTCGTGTGCAACTTTAATCAATTAAAATGTTGAACCACCGACACTTTCTTTTTCTCTCTTCCTCCACAATGTTAGAAAAATTGAGAATAAAGAATAAAAGAAAAAAGATTGGCTTTGAGGAACCATGGAGAATAATTTTTTAAAAGATTATTATGTTATTAAGGATTTAGTAAAATTTTAAAAATTTCCAAGTGATAATAAAAATACTTAATAAAACACATATTCTCTTATAAAACATTTTTTTGACGAATAAATTAAAATTTTTATTGGTGATAAACACAACTTTTCATTTAAATGGATAGAAGTAATATTTTACAATTCATTTTTAATTTAATTTGTAAAAATTATAACAGTTCCTCATCGGTATTGTCCACAAAAATACTTTAAAGTATCTTTCCCTACTCACCATAAATTCTAGTCCCTTTGGCCTTCAATCATTCGCCTGAATGTCTCACATTTTACAACCAAAAAGCTACCATGGAAAACTCACAGCAAACAACAGTACATGTAGCCATGGTGACAACCACTGGCATGGGTCACCTGCTTTCACTCGTTGAGTTCGCCGAGCGACTGGTTCACCAGTACCACAACTTTGAAGTAACCATCATCGTCCCCGATGATGGCTCACCCATGAAATATCAAAGACAACTCCTTCAAGGCTTACCCAAATCAATTTCCTCCATTTTTCTCCCACCTGTGAGTTTTGACGATTTGCCTGAGCAGGTCAGGATCGAGACCAGGATTGTACTCAGCCTGGTCCGGTCACTGCCTGCTCTTAAAGACTCGCTCAAGGTCTTAGTCGAGTCAACTCGACTTGTGGCCGTGGTTGTTGACCTTTTTGGCATCGATGCAATTGATGTGTTTGAAGAATTTGGCCTTACGCCCTACATATTCTTTCCTTCCAATGCTATGTTGTTACAATTGATATTTCACTTGCCTAAGCTTGATGAAATGTTTTCTTGTGAGTATAGAGATTTGCCTGAGCCGATCAAGTTACCAGGATGCGTGCCGTTTCACGGAAGCGATATAGCGGCCCCTGCTCAAGACAAGAAGAATGTGGGCTACCAATCGGTTATTCAGCTATGCAGACGCTACCCATTGGCAGCAGGGATTATAGTTAATAGCTTTATGCACTTGGAACAGGATGCCTTTAAGGCTTTGATGGAGGATGAACTTGGTCTACCCAAGGTTTACCCGGTTGGACCTCTAATACAAACAAGTTCAAGGAATGAAGTTAATGAGTCTAACAATTGTTTAAGGTGGTTAGATGAGCAGCCTCATGGTTCGGTGGTTTATGTCTGTTTTGGAAGCGGTGGGACAATCTCTCACGAGCAGATGAATGAATTGGCGTTGGGGCTGGAAATGAGTGGAAAAAGATTTCTGTGGGTTGTGAAGAGCCCGGTCGAAAAGGCCACAAATGCCTCTTACTTTGGTGTAGAAAGTGTCGAAGACCCTTTCCATTTTCTGCCAGATGGGTTCTTGGAAAGGACGAAGGGGGTGGGTGTAGTGGTACCGTCTTGGGCTCCTCAGATCGAGATCTTGAGACATGGCTCAACGGGAGGGTTCTTAACCCATTGTGGGTGGAATTCAACCCTGGAGGCGATTGTGCACGGTGTGCCACTGATTGCATGGCCACTCTATGCAGAACAAAAGATGAATGCAGTGCTCTTAGCAGATGATCTGAAGGTAGCAATTAGGGTCAAAGAGAATGAAAATGGGGTGGTGGGGCGAGAAGACATTGCAAAATTTGTTGAGGGACTGATTGATGGGGAAGAAGGGCAACTGCTCAGGAACAAGATGAGAAAACTGAAGGATGCTGCAAAAATGGTTTTGAGCCCAGATGGATCATCCACAAAATCACTGGCCAAGGTAACTGAAATATGGAAGAACCAGGAAACATAAGAATTTCAAGGATACGCTTGTAATAAATGTTGTAGTATCATGCCAGTTCTGCTAGCAATACATTAATTTGATGTGTGGTGAATGGTGACTGTAGATTAGCCTTTTTCACTCTGTTCTTTACGTTAAAGTGATTGAACGGAATCTTGGCTGTGGACCCTAAAACTCCATCCCAGTATACGTAAGCACCTTGAGCAAGCAGGATGATTCAATGCTCCAGAAGGTGAGGGAATAAATTTGACTGTTTCTTCCGTTGAATTCAGTAGCATCTTATATTCACAAATGAAGCTGTCAGTTGAAACTTGTAGCTAGACCTCGCGATGCTAGGTTAAGGAGAACGTAACTTACGGAAGTTAAGGCATCGAGCAAACAAGAAATACAGGAACAAATAGTTTGGAAAATCCCTAATAAATGATTAAAACGCCCAGGAAGCAAAGCTATTATTCTCTAAGATTGGTAAATTGGGAGTTTGATGTGTACAACAAATTAATTTTTCAATGTTCCTTTTCTTACCAATTAATTTAAAATGATCATATCCTCCTTCACAATACTAACTTTAGAGTGTTACAATCATATTATATCACGTATGATTTTTTCATTTTACATTATTAATTTTTTTAAATTTATAAATACATATCTAACATATATAAAAAAATGCATACACATACACATGTATAAAAATAAATAAATCACGTAAAAATAATAAAAAATTTAAAAATATAATTTCTCAAATAATTTGAATATAACATGTAAAAGTTTCACTTTGAAACCTTATATATATATTATTCACAAATATAATCAGTATTTTTATTAACTTATTGATCCTGCATATGCTTAATGAGAGCCATAGAAACCTGCGACAGTGAGTTTTTTTTTTTTTTTGTTTTTTTCATGCTTTGATAAATTGAATCATGAAGCCATAGGAAGAACAGTGCCTTTGGTGGTCCAAAACCTGAAGCTAATATGAAAATTTTGGTTAGCTCTCATTAATACCACCCTTTCTTTTTTATCAACCAAAATGCTCTCTTGCAATTGTCCATTGCAATAGTTTCATAAAAATACAAAATTTTGTTGTTAATTTACATTTGAGGACTTTAAAAATTTAAAATTTCTTGATAAGTAAGATAAATTTTTTTTATTGATATTATATAAGATCAATATACTAATATTACATCAAATATAAATCCAAATCAAATTAAGGTTTATTATAGATTCCGTTGAATATTGGCCATGCACTTTCCGGAGCTTGCATTGTTTTTCCCTGGAGCAGTCTCAACACTGACAATTCAGAACCTAACAAATTCGTTCATCAACCTCATTTTTTTCCTGCTATTTTATTTTTATTTGATCACAAAAGCCTGTCAAAATAAATTCCAATCGAATTCGTTACCCTCCAATTGCTTCAATCCCGCCGTATTTATTTATTTATTTATTTTAATTGATCAAAAATTGCATTAAAAAATAGGTGGAAGGCCGTAGCCAGGATTACGTCGCACTCGGACCTGCCAGGTTCTGTGCTGAACTTGTTTAAATATGTATACGATAGCCGCACGTTTGTTTCGCTATTGTTCTTACTTTTGAACATTGAATTGGAAATATGGCAATGGCTTTAAAGTGTGTAATAATGTCATTATTTTTAAAAGTTTTGTTTATTTTTATTTACAATATATAAAAGAGTTATCGATTATAAATTTTAAAAATATAATAAAATTTAATAATTGTTGTATTTTGTATTGACAAAATGATTCACTAAATAGTCACTAGTGTATGACAAAATTATTTAACTTTTATAAAAATTTTTACAATAAAATAATATATAAGAAATTTGAAGAATATTGGCAAATGAATGAAAATTATTATTTTCTTTATTTTGTGTTTTCTTTTGTTCTAAAAAAAATTTATTTATAAGTCTAAGTAACTGTTCCCAACAAATACAATTGTGTCTATTTCAAATAGACACAATCATTATTTTCAACAGTTGTAATTGTTGGTTTTTTGATAGATATAATTGTTTGTTTTTCAATATAATTATTTTAATGAACTTAATTGTTTGTACAAAAGAGTTATTAATTTTTCATTTATAATGTACAAAAGAGTTATTGATTATAAGCTTCAAAAATACAATGAAACTTAATAATTGATTGTATTTTATATTGACAAAATCAATCCAAGTATCCACCAATGTATGACAAGATTATTTAATTTTTACAAAATTTTTTTGCAACAAAATACTATTTAAAAATATGAAAAATATTAAAAAAAAATAAAAAAGTGTTATTTTCTTTGTTATGTATTTTCTTTTGTCACAGAAAAAGTTTATTTATAAGTAACTGTTCTCAGCAGACATAATTATATCTATCAAATACACATAATTGTTATTTTCAATAATCATAATTATTGATTTTTTAATAAATATAATTATTTGAATAAACTTAATTATTTAAATGAATACAACTTTTAAACAAACTTAATTGTATAAATAAGTATAACTTTCGAACAATCATAATTATTCGTAAAAAGACTTTCTTTTTTAATTCCTCCATTACTATTATTGAAAATATCCTACACCACTATATACTTCGTTGATATCGTAGCTTAAGCATCAAATTCCTCCATGGAAACCACCCAAGAATCACCGCTTCATGTAGTCATCGTGCCTACTCCAGGTATGGGTCACCTGATCCCGCTCATAGAGTTCGCCAAGCGACTAGTGGACCTCCACAAGTTTGCCGTAACTTTCATTGTCCCCAACGATGGCTCACCCATGAAACTCCAAAGACAACTCCTTTTAACCCAACCCGAGCCAATTTCCTCCATCTTTCTCCCTCCTGTTAGCTTTGACGATCTGCCTGAGGATGCCAAAATCGAGACCCGGATTATACTCAGCCTGACTCGGTCGCTTCATCTTCTCAAAGATTCGTTCAAAGTACTAGCTCAGTCAGCTCGGGTAGTGGCCTTCGTCGTTGATGTTTTTGGCATCGATGCATTTGATGTTGCCAAAGAATTTGGACTTGAACCCTACATTTTCGTCACTACCTCTGTTATGCTATTATCATTGATATTTGAGTTACCTAAGCTTGATCAGATGTTTTCGTGCGACTATAGAGATTTGCCTGAGCCGATCAAGTTACCTGGATGCGTACCGTTCCATGGAAGCGACATTCCTGACCCGCTTCAACACAGGACAAATTTTGCCTATCAAGAGACTCTTCAGCAATGCAAACGTTACCCATTGGCTGCTGGGATTATCATTAACAGTTTCTTGGACTTGGAAAAGGGTACTTTGGATGCTTTAATGGAGGGTGGGCGTCGTTTGCCTGCGGTTTACCCAGTTGGACCTCTAATACGAACTAGTTCAACCAATGAAGTTGAAGGGTCTAACAATTGCTTAAGGTGGTTGGATGAGCAGCCTAGCGGGTCAGTGCTATATGTCTGTTTTGGAAGTGGTGGGACTCTTTCGCATGAACAGCTAAATGAATTGGCACTGGGCTTGGAAATGAGTGGGCAAAGATTTCTTTGGGTTGTCAGGGAACCTGACGAAATTGCTGCAAACGCCACTTATTTTGGTATAGAAAACGTCAAGAACCCTTTTGCATTTCTGCCTGATGGGTTTTTGGAAAGGACCAAAGAGGTGGGTTTGGTGGTTCCATCTTGGGCTCCTCAAATTCAGGTATTGAGTCACGGCTCGACCGGTGGGTTCCTGACCCATTGCGGTTGGAATTCGGTCTTAGAGTCTATCGTGCATGGCGTGCCATTAATCGCATGGCCACTCTATGCAGAGCAAAAGATGAATGGTGTACTTCTAAAAGATGGTCTGAAGGTTGCATTTAGGGTCAAAGTGAACGAAGATGGACTCGTTGGGCGAGAAGATATTGCAAAATATGTGAAGGAACTGATTGAAGGGGACGAAGGGCAGTTGCTTAGAGCCAGGATGAGAAAACTGAAAGGTGCTGCCAAAATAGCTCTGAGCCCAGATGGGCCTTCTACAAAATCCCTTGCCAAGGTAGCAGAAATTTGGAAGAACAAAAAAAATTAGACTCCATTTTATTGATATCTACCCTTTCTATTTTTCAGTTATAAAAACTAAATCGAAAATAAAATATAATAAAAAAACAAAAAGCATCAACCTTCTATTATAAAAATAAAATAAAAATTGTCCACATGGGTTTATTCTTTTAGTCACTTCCTTTACTTTTTCTGATTTGCAAATTTACATTAATACCTTTTTTTTTGTGTTAAATCAATACTTTATGAATACGGAGCTAGGAAATTGAACAACTATCAATCTGTTTTCTAGGACTCCTAACACACAGAATAATTTTTGGCAACCGAATAATTTTTTCTTGAGAGACTTCTTTTTCAGCCTTTGTCTTCCGCAACTTATGTCATAACCAGGCTCAGTTTCATGTCAGCCACTCGGTCTCATTAATTCCATGGCCCCACTAAACTACAAAACTTGCCGACCACCCCCATCAACTTCCCCTACATTCCATCTTTTGCGTCAATACTCTTCTATTTTGTCAATTGTCTTGTAGCAACGTTAATTAATGTCGGCTGGCTTGTGATTATCACTGGTAAGCTTCTGTTTTTGCATTTATAAGACTTAAAGTTGTAGATACAAACAACATTTCCCGACTCTTGGCCCTCAAAAAGCCTTCACCTGTGCCCTGATCAATTCCCAGTTCCAGTAAATTAGTTAACATGCTCATCAAGTTGCACAGTCAATGGTTAATACATTAATAGCAATCGCCATTTGAAAAAACAAAGAAATTACTGGAAAATTTTTAAAAATTCCCTCAATGGTTACAAGATTCCTAAAGATATGAGATGACCCTTTTTTTTTTTTTCCTTTTTTGAATTTTGTTTTGCCAACTTGAACTATAAACAAAATTAGCAAGACACCTTTGAATCGGATTCAAAGGTGCTTGTAAGGAAATTGCAAAAGAAAGAATGGAAAGTTAAGACAGCGAATCGAACAATCCAAATTTAGTTTGGTATGAAGAAATGCAAACCAAGCAGCAGATCGGATTGCCCTCAGTCAAATAAAGATGCTTTGCCCTGAGAACTGGTTGCAAGCACTTCCGTCATCCTTCGTCTTCTTTTCGGACAAGGATGGTCCAGCCTCGAGAGTTTTGTGCAATAATCTCGAGCAGATGTTCTAGGCTAATTATTTGGTGTATACTTGCAATGTTATTTTGGAAAGGTTAAAAAAAAAACTATAAACAAATCACAAGAATTTTCTTGCCCAATTGATTTCTCTGAAAAGAATAATTTCGTATTATGCAAATTCTGATTTTAACATCAGAAATGATTTTGTTGACGTTTGCTTCTTTTCTTATTCATTGATATTGAAGAAAAATTACACCTTCCTAAACTACATGAATTAATTCAATTACTTTTTTCACAAGATCTTTTAACTATTACTGTCTGACTGTGAACTTCAAGAATTTACCTTTGATGGTATACACGGTTAATTCCCAACATGGTTGATACTAACGGCACCAGCCCTATAGCTTACTCAGTCCAAGGCTCATAGCTTAAGCCCATAAGCCAGGGCTTGGACCTTTCAAAACCCCAGAGTTTAGGGTTTTGTAGCACCAGAATCTGTAACAGATTGTACGGACATGGAGAAACCATTGGCGACACTCGAAAGAGGCACGACATGCTCGGCCTGGAACTACTGCGGCGAGAGATTAGCCGCCGGTTCGGTCGACGGTTCTCTTTCCATCTTAGATTCTCGTGACTCTTCCTCTTCTTCCTTCACTTGCTCCTCCAAATTCAAGGTCAAAGAATCTTTTTGTTTTTTTTTTTCTCGTTTCGTTTTTGTTTTTATTTAATAGTTACCGCATTTTAGGCCCAATTTTTTGAGTTGGTGTCTTCGATTTTAGGCCAGTGAAGCTGGCATTGTGAAGGTTGCTTGGATCCCTCCTGAGTATGGGGATGCTGTTGCTTGCATTTGTGAAGATGGGACTTTATCCATATGGGAAGAGCTTGTAGAAGGTTCTTTTCTTCCCTGAATTTTTAATTCTTAGATTTGATGGTAATATTTCGAAAATGCCGATTGGTATTGTAAATTTTGATAGGTACACAACCTATTCAGTGGAAGCTATGCAAAAGCTTTAAGACTAGTTCGAAGGTTCTAGATGTTCAATTTGGAGTCAACCAGACGAGTTTGAAAATGGTCAGCTTTATAACTGAATGGTTTTGCAAATTCTGCTCCATGTTACCATAAAAGCAAATATAATATATTTTGCTTTAACAATCGACATTTTCATAGCTAGTTTTCATTTAGTTTTACAGGTTGCTGCTTACTCAGACGGCTTTGTGAAAGTCTTTGAGCTCCTCAATCCATTGGAACTAAAGAACTGGCAACTTCAGGTGCTCAATTCTGTGCATCTACCCTTTCCTCTTTTTCTGTTGCATTTTCTAGATATCCAGTCATTCCCAATCATTAGTTTTGCATGTTATATTATACTCTCGTGAGTGTCTGTACTCTCCCCACTCATCCACTCTCTGATTTTCTTTTAACTCTTTTATGATTTTTATTTCAGGCTGAATATCAGAATGTTATAGATTCCGTTTCTACATTTGGGAAGGCTTCATGCTTAACAGCATGTATTTCTTGGAATCCTCAAAGGGGTGAAGGCCAAGAATCAAGCTTTATTTTGGCTTTCAATTCTAATACTCCACAGCTCAATTCCCCCAAGGTATTCTTAAGTTCATTTTCCTTGCAGCTAAATTCTGCTCTAATATAATGGGATTGGGATGCATCAACTTGTTCCATACATGAGCATTGTCTCTGTAGTATGCAGCGAATCTTTGTTTGGTTTGGTTTATCAAGTTCCAGGATCGCCAGTTATTGAAAACTGGGCAAGTTTGCTAGCCGAGATCACCTGTATTCTGATGTTAGGAGATTGCCTGTTATCATTATTCTTGAGTGACTTGCATACTGACAGAAACATGTGGATGTGTTCTGATATTGCTAATTTAGACTCACTCTAGAGTTCCATAGGTGTGGGAATTTGATCCAGCTCATCAGAGATGGCTGCCAGTAGCAGAGTTGGCTTCGCCCGGTGACAAGGGAGATCAAGTTTATTCTGTTGCATGGGCACCAAACATTGGACGGTAATGGAAATTATTATTCTTTGTGAAAATGTTTTTCATTATGAGCCGTTGCCCATTAGTAGGATAGAAGTCTTTATAGTATAGAGTCCATAAGTTCCTCTTTTATGGTGGGGTTCAACTGGGATATTTTCTGGACCATTTGCATTGTGAATTCTGTTGAAACTAAATACCCTTTTTCTTCTTTGTGATGTAGGCCATATGAGGTAATAGCTGTTGCATCTCAAAAAGGAATTGCTATATGGCATGTTGGATCAACCCCAGACTTGGATGGAAGGCTCTCAGTAGAGAAGGCTGCATTGCTTTCTGAACATAACAGTGAGGTATACAATAGTTAAAATTTTATGTTCTGTATATTGTTTTCTATTAATCTACATGTGATTTGTACAGCTGCAATATTTAAAATTTGTACTGTTTGTATGTGTGTATAAAGGCATAAATGAGGTTTGTTTTAGTGTGTGATTCAGTTAGATGGTGAGAAAAATCATCTAAAACGCATTATGGTAAAATTTATGCCACCTTAAACTTTATGTCCACCTTTTTACCTATTTTCTCATCACATTTTTTAGACAAAGGTAACAAGTGTATGCATATCTCTTATATATTTCTGCCTCTATAACTATAAGGTGAGTTAAATGATTAAAATCTTGTTGTTTGTTTGATGATCAGGTGTGGCAGATGGAATGGGATATGAGCGGAATGACCTTGGCAACTACTGAAAGTAATGGGCTTGTAAGGCTGTGGCAATCCAACTTGAACGGCACTTGGCATGAACAAGCCGCATTTGAACCCACTTCTTAGTCCTCTGTATAAATGTGTTTCTCTATATTCCCTCTCTCTCTTCTCTTTTGGTGGCTTACCCAAATTGTGCATTTGTTTGTGAGTGCGATGCTTCAAAGACCATCTTTTTTCCCCTTTAATTTCTTATAATTATGTAGTCAAAAAAGGGAGCAAAAAAAGGGTCAAAACACTACAGTTAGTAAAAAGGAAAAAGTTAAGCTGTCTCCAAATGGACCAAAACAAAACTCTAATGGGTCAAATAATGATTCGAGGCCATTTCAAGACCATTAAAGTACGTTACTTTCTTCTTTATGGGATATATCAATAGTTGGCCCATTTTTTCTATATTGGGCTTCGCATGGCCTTTCCTAATTAAGTAGGCCTTGATCGCTCCACTTCTCACCAAGCTGTGGGCTGCAATAGCCCTAGTCATTTCAATGATCTAGTGGTTGACGTTCTTGCCATCACCTACATTCATCCTCATATATGGCCGCTCGTGCAAACGATCTCTTTAAAGTAGCTACTCTCAAGTCATTATGATGGCTGCAAAAACCTCTGGGATAAACTCCCCTGGTACGCATCGATGATGTTTGTGATGCACGTATCTTCTGCATGGAAAAACCATCCATGAAAGGCAGATTTCTTTGTGTAATAGCTAATCCAACCATCAGAGAAATTGCAATGCATTTTAGAGAAAATTATCCGCAATACCAGATACCTGAAAAGTAAGAAAGAGGAGTCGGGTGGGACTCCACCCAGCAAGTAGATCAATATGGGCTTCCAGTTCAAATTTGATACGAAGAAAATATTAGATGACACTGCAAAGTGTGGCCGAAGAGTGGGAGCTCTCTTCCTCAAATAAAAATCATGGTCATCCTGTCCTACACTGCTTTGGTGGAAAGCAACATAAAATTAAATTTACAGTAGTATTTTCTTATTTTAATAAAGCATGCTGCTCTAACATGCAATCAGGGCTTAGGCCTCTTTAGATAGAAACGATAAATAAAGCTTAAGCAACCAAAGGATTCGTATAGCTTTGTTTAGTTTTTCTTTTTGAAGGCTGGGTAGCTAGCTTAGTTTCACCTAGCAGAAACTTTGGAAATTCCGTTTACCACAAAATGGTTGCTTAATTACTTTGTATTTCGGAAAGAATGAGAGACTATACTGCAATCTCTTCAAGACATGATCAGATTGAAATTATATAAAGAGATGTGATAGGTCCAAAATTCTCTGTCTCTTTTCTAGTGGCTTGTATTAAAATCAAATCTCATATACTCCCACAATGTACGTAGTTGCCCAACTAAAAGTACTTGAAATGAAATTAATCACCTAATCAGCTACTCTGGTGCGTAATAACAAAATTGAACGCATCAAACATATATAAGTTAAATTTTATGAAAATCTTACATTTATGCCTCACTAGTTAATTAAAATTTTAAACCCCATTGAATCATAAAGTGATGTACTCAAACTTTGGCTTGGATCATTACCTGAGCTACACTAATGAAAGACGGTAATTTATATATTAGAAATTAGATTAATATGGGCTGACGGAAGTGAAGGACACACCTTTGGTGTAGTCTTTGAGCATTGCTCGGATAATTCTGATCTATCAAAGAAGTCAACATTCAAAGAAACTAAAAAGAAGTGAAATGTTGTTAAAAGCCCAGAAGCATGATTGGTTGCAATAGCCGTCCAATAATAAAAAACTAAAGCTAAATGATAAATTATGAATTGGCCGGCTGGTTTGGCCCAACCCATGCTCGAAATATTTGACGTTTCTACTTTGACCTCTGCATTTCCTGATGACCTTAAAAGCTAGTGCTCTTTGCTGAGGTAAGGTAAATCCTTTTGCTGTACTTGCTTTACTCCTCAGTTACTCCCACAAAGAAAACCATCAGCTGGGCCAAAATAAAGCAGATCAGAATGGAGAAGAAAGCTAATATCAAGGTCTGCGTCACCGGAGGTGCTGGATATATCGCGTCTTGGCTTGTTAAGAAGCTCCTAGAGAAAGGCTATATTGTCCATTCCACTCTCAGAAACTTGGGTTCTCCTTCTTATCCCCATCTCTATTTCTCTCTTTCCTTCTGTCGTGCCTTGCAGCTATCTCGTAGACTTTAAAAATTTTCAATAAAATTGCAGAGGATAAATCAAAAGTAGACATTCTTAAGTCCCTCCCTGGTGCAGACACCAATCTAATGTTATTTCAAGCTGATTTATACAATCCCAATCAGTTTGAAAGAGCCATTCAGGGGTGTGAATATGTCTTTCATGTAGCTACTCCATTGCTTCATGACAGTACTCAAAGCTCAATGGTTGGTTTTCTTCATCAAATGATTAGCTCATCAAAGTTATTTCCAATCTGTCTTAACCCAATTTTTGATGACTTTTTTTTTTTTGTGTATTTATAATAGTTCAAGGATACAACTGAAGCAGCTGTTTCCGGAGTGAGAAGCATTGCTGACGCTTGCATCCGATCCCAAACAGTTAAGCGACTCATCTACACAGCTTCTGTGATGGCATCCTCACCGCTAACCGAAGATAGACTTAAGTTCAAACCTTGCGTGGATGAATCGTGTTGGACACCAATTGATATGTTATTGACTTACTGCAATGAAGTTACACTGGTATATATTTGTTTCTTCTCTTTAGATTGTCACCGCAGTGATATCAATAATTAACTAATGTCTCAGAATCTGAAATTCACGTTTCTTTCTTTCTTGGCTGCAATTCTTGCTCTTAGGCATATACTAGATCAAAAATGTTAGCAGAGAAAGAGGCGTTGAGCTATAACGAAAAAAATAACGTCAATTTAGAAGTCGTAACACTTCCCTGTGGCCTGGTGGGAGGAGAGACTCTTCTTTCCTACGTGCCTTTAAGTGTGGAAATAATTACTCTTACACACCTTAGAGGAAAAATTTTCTCTGTCGAAGGATTAAGACTTATGCAAGAGATTCTTGGATCAGTTCCCCTGGTACACATTGATGATGTTTGTGATGCGCACATCTTCTGCATGGAGACCCCATCCATGAGAGGCAGGTTCCTTTGTGCAGCAGCTAATCCAACCATTGCAGAAATTGCAACTTATTTTCGAGAAAATTATCCGGAATGCAAGATTGGTGAAGAGTAAGAAATTAGTAATTGAAAAATAATTCGGAATTTCGAGCAATGCTTGTATTACTAAATGCTAAAAAAAACACATATTGCTATGTATATGTACTGATTATTGTTTGATTTCATTATTAATTCAGGTTCATGGGAGAAGAAAAGCGAGGAATTGGATTCGACTCTAGCAAGCTGATCAAAATGGGTTTTCATTACAAATGTGATATGAAGAAAATATTAGATGATAGCCTGAAATGTAGAAGGCGACTGGGTGCTCTCCCCCGTTAGATGTTGGAGGCAACATTAAAAATTGTACTTTTTGCTTTAATAAAGCTTACAGCTCGACAATGGGCTTGCTACATTGGTGATATTGACGTTCTGTTCAGTGACGAAAATAATAATATTTGTAAAAATAAAATTATAAAATATTTATAAAAAATAAAAATAAAAATTTAAAATTTTAAAAAATAAAAAAAAATTTAAAAATTTTGGAAGGCGGGACCCCATTAGCTCATTTTCTCTTAATTACTTCTTAATTTTATTTTAATTTTTTAATTAGACTATTTTTATCCCAATCTCCCAATACAAAATCTTCGACTTTTTCTCCTAAATTACTGTTTTTACGGCTCAAATTACTTTAAGTTTGAAATTTTGACCATCTTTCTTTTGGATGAAATTCCCTGCTGTCAGACATATAAAGTATCAAAAACCTTAGCGGAGAAAGAGGCATTGAGCTATAACGATAATCCTGATGGCAAGTTAGAAGTTGTCACTCTTGTCTGTGGCCTAGAGGGAGGAGAGACGCTACGGTCATACGTGCCTCTAAGCATAGAAGTAATGTGTTCGCAACTTATTGGCAAATTGCCCGCTTTCAAGGCATTCGAATTTATTGAAGAACTTCTGGGATCAATTCCTATTGTACACATCGAAGACGTCTGCGATGCACATATCTTCTGCATGGAGATACCCTCCATGAGAGGTAGATTCCTTTATGCGGCAGCAAATCCAACCATCAGACAAATGTCAACGTGCTTTCGAGAAAATTATCCACAATACCAGATAAAAGAAGAGTACGTTAGAAATATGAACAAATCTTAACATGCAAATTCGGTATACAATATTAATGTATAATAATTTTTTGGTTTCAATGTGCAGGTTCATGGGGGAAGAGAAGAAAGTCATTGCTTGTGACTCCAGCAAATTGGAGAAGATGGGCTTTGAGTACAAATACGACATGAAGAAAATATTATGATAGTGTAAAATGTGGAATACAACTAGGAGCTGTCTTCCTCAATTAGTGATGAATTATATATTATGGTCTAGCTATGGAAACAAAGTCTATGAAAATAAAATAATTGATTAGTATATGATCTTGTTTAAAAATTAAGATTCGAATCTCAATTCTTTAAAATAAAAAAAAATTATGGAAATAAAGAGGTAGCTTGCCTTTGAATTAACTAGTCGGCATTGGCTCTGCATTGCCTGTAACTATATATCTGAAGTATTTGATGAAAACTTATGAAATAAAATTGTTTTAAGTTATTACGCGTGCATCCTTTGGGTAGGGGAAGTGGAGCATGTATCCTTGATATAAGGATCCATACCTTATTATATTAATCTCAAATATTGAGCTTAAACTTAAATACTATAAGCTTAGTCCTTTCGTTTTTGTTTTCTCTATAATATCGGAGAAGAGACAAAATTACTTTGTGAATTACTAACATTTTGGTTTTTATAAGATTGGAACCGTGCAATTTTAGAAACTGTGTTATGCTCGGCCTAACAGTTCATTTTTCTGTACTGTATCTACCAGTGTCTTGTCCGTATAAATTATTAATGTCGGTTCTCTCTAATCTCACCTTCATCCCCAGCTGCCTTAAATGTCATTGTCCTCGAACTTGGTAGTGCTAATTAACACTCCAGGCAACTTCATTTCATACTGTGCGCGTGCCACGAACAGCAAGAAAATCAAGATAATTAGCACCAGACAAAGTTCTTATGGGCAAACAGTCCAGTTCTTAAACGCTTTGCTGTCTGTAAGTTGGCTTTACCATCTACTGCTTTTGCGTTTGTTCCAACTACTGCTTGTTCGCTTGTTTGTTCTTACTTCCTGGGCCCCTCCCTTTGGTATTTTAAGCTGTTGTTTTTAAATCTTCTATCCAGAAAGAATAAAAGAAAAGAAGAGGAAGTAGATGAAACACAGTTATCTAAATCTTGCGAGGAATCTGCCACGTTCATTGTAGGCGACAAGCAGAATAAAAGATTATCCTCTCAGGACACAATTAGTCGAGAGGAACGGCTCAATCCAACAACATAAAAGACAGGAAGTAAAGCTAATTTAATAGCGAATTGAAGGTCCGGCATGGAAGGGTTCAGAGAAAGTAAATCAATTCCCACCTCCCATGCATTTGTTCCGGAAAGTAAGCAAGAACAACAATACTTAATATGTATTAAAGATCTAAACAAAGTAGTCAAACATTTTAGTTTTACAGTTCCAAGCTTTTAAAATACCATATTCCTTTTTAGGTATTGTCAGGAGAAGCCAGAGGAAGTGACCGTTGAACATGAGCTCAATTATTATTTTAGACTCTTACGGTATTTTATAGTCGACCTCCCACCATGCACCCTCCACATTTTTCATTTTATTCTCAGCAGTCGGAACCACTCTATTTCAAGAATGGGCAAAGAGAAGCCCAAGAATTGGGGGTTTTACTTCTAATTGAAGATAGTAAATTCTTGGGCTCTGTACAGTCCGGGTTCACTGTGATCAGTCCAAGTCAATGTGGCAAAGCCCATTAAACAAGGCCTGTTTGCTGCATTAGAACCTAAATCCACGCATCAAATTTCTCCGATCCACCGCATTACTATTATCTACAAGAGGGAAATCCAAATTCCTAAACGAAAAGGCAGAAGCTGTAGTTACGATGAATCTCGGTTGTGTACAACTACTACCCACCTCTTCTGTCCCTCTACTATTTGCTGGTTCTTCTTCCTTCTTGCACAATCACCGAGCAAACCCAGGTAAATTAAGCAGAGATTTCAGGAGTTCTAAAAATGGAGAAGTTGCAAAGGGGAAAGGAGGAATTGTATGTGGGTGGTTATTGCCAGTGGATCCATGGGCACCTAACATTGACTCGCAGAGCATTGCTTCGCAGCTTTTTGCAGTTTCTTTGTTTCCGTACATTGGATTCCTGTACTTCATCACCAAATCTAAGTCTGCTCCGAAGCTCACCCTTTTTGGCTTCTACTTCTTGCTTGCCTTTGTTGGGGCCACCAGTGAGTTTTTGGGAATTATACGTATCTCTTTCTCAGATCCTTTTATTATGGAGTAATTGATATTATAAGGTTATTTTATGCTCTTTCTGGTTCTGAACTTCACAAATGAAGTGAATTTTGACTTGGGAGCTGGGGTTTCTCTTGCCATGAAATGAAGAAATTAGCATTTGGTCAAAAATTAGAATAAAATTAGACAGAGTAGCTAAGGTGCAAACGAAGTGAAACGATTATTAGTTACCTCTTGATAATGGTTTTTTACAAGATCCCACTTTGTTGATGAATGCACCTATATTGAAATACGATCATTTTTGCATACATCCTCTTTTGGTTTTCTCAAATTGTGTAAATCACATGTTAGATATTTGAATTTAATTTATATTGTTTCTCATGTTCTATGCTACCTTTCTTCTCTTATTTTTTTGGATAATTAAATGCTATATTTTGAGACTATGAATATATGGCTTATCCTAGCTTAGGGAAGATACGAATATTGTGACAATGGGGCATCTTAAAGCTGTAACACTTTTGTTAGAATGGTAGAAATTTGGTGTCTGCTTTTACTCATTTGGAACCAGGGCAGGCAGGCAGCTAGTTTCCAAGTCATCTATATATTCTACCATGTAATTTCTTCCCAGTTGTGATGCTGGAGAATTCCATGAATCCATTCATATATTTCAGTGCTGATCATTGGTTTCACATAGATTCATCTGTTTTAGTGGCAAGTCTTTCTTATTTTTGCTTCATTTTCTCCAGGGTGCTTATTTTCATCTTTTGGTATAGTGCCTAATATAGATTTTTAGGCTTTAAGTTTGTTCACTTCTTTTCTATTTGAATCCTGTGGCAATGTTTCCAATTCCTTGTTTACTTGATCAGTGGAGCTAAGCTGCATGAAGTACACAATTCAGCCCAAAGCAAACAGAAAATAAATGAGAGGGGATAGGGTTAAAAAACAAACAAAATGTCGCCTTCATTCAATTTAGTGTTGTACAAAATTTCTTACTTTGGATGCTTTTCTTCTGTAATTTGATTTGCTTTTGGTGTCTTGTTTCAACTCTCTAATTTTGTTTGTATTGATCTTTTCTGACTTCGTGTCCACTGAGCAGTCCCCGCTGGAATATATGGTAAGTTCTCACCACTAAACAAAAATTGCTTTCATTTGTTAGCGATCAATTTTTACACATGGATGCCAAATTGTGACTCTATCCATGTGGTTGAGACAGCCAAGGTGAAATATGGTACTTCCTTGTCTAATGTGGATTGGTTACATGGAGGGGCTGAATCACTTCTCACTTTAACCAACTTATTCATTGTCTTGGGGTTGAGACAAGCTCTTCGGAAAACTGAGGACGCAAAAGAAAGCACATCAAGCTCTGCTCCAGATGCAAAAGAGCAGAAGAAGCCATTCATATAGGTGTGGTAAGTAACATCATAATTAATATCCTTGCCATTTCATTGTTCAAGTACTAGGAGCTCTTCTTACTTCTGTTGAATGTTGCTTCTTTTCTCACAGTTATCTAATACCTAATATTTTCTGCGGTTACCTTGCTACTATTGTTCTCCTGAGATCCCCTCAGCACAATTGCTAGCACACATGCAACGTACCATTCTTATGTGCTGCTGAGTAGCTTGGCTATTGGCTCATATTCAAATATCTTTTAACATATTGCGAGTTTCCAGTCTAGAATTACAGATGCTGTCCGTGTTTCTCCATGTTCTCATTTTATAAGATCTCTTATCAGCACGAGTACTGGGTTTTACTTTGTTTATGTATTCCATCTGTTAGGAGTCTAAACAAGCAATGTTGTGTCTACTGAATAGATCATAGGAATGTAGATTCTTTTTTCCCCGTATATACATATTTTTCTATTGGCAAATATGGGATTTGTTGCTTTCGCACAATATTATGTTATGGACGACTTATTTGGATTTCAAATGGCCATCGCTTGAAAACTCATTTGCATATTGCAATGAAGTTGCAGGAAGTTAAAGGATATATGCATCATTTATGTGTGTCACCCTGAAGGTTTCTATATGCCAACACTATTCTTTTTGGTAAAAGTCTAGGTACCAATATTATTGCAACTGCGATTACAACAAATGTCAAAACTTGTTATCCGAGGAAATTTCTTAAAATCAACATTGAATTGAAACTGACTTACGTATTCTGCAATAGCTCATGTGATAACACAAGCTAGGATGAACAGACGCAACCAGCTAAGCTGGTCAGCGTAACCTGAATTCTAGACCTACCCTTGCTCTTATTTCGATTGTGAAAATGAATTAGGAGAAAAATCCCGGGGTGTCAAAAGGGAAGTTTGGATCCAACTCCACGTGATCGAGTGAGAAATCCAAGTCCATAATTGGAGAATTGGTGGCTGAAGTGTTGGCTGAAATCAACTCAGTGAGAACAGATTCAGCATGCCGTTCATCAAGAATCCCTCCCAAGTTGTTCATCTGAGAATGAGAAACTGGAAAGTAGTTTAATTCAGGTGTAGCAGGAGACATGAAAGGCGAAGAGAAGCTGCCCAAGATATTGTTGTTATCAAGTACTCCTGAAGGTGAAGAAGTATGGTTTTCGCTCTGAAGGCACCCAAATGATGATGAAGGAAAAGAGAAGGACGGTGCCATCCCTTTATTGTCTAAGCCCTCAGTATTGACCCTTAGGCCTTTTCGAAAATTTAAGAGGATATCTTGTGATTGCAATCGTTGGTTATTGTTATAGTTAAGGTTATTTGATTTATGTTCTTGTTTTTCTGGTGATGCTGGTGGTGGAACTGCTGCCTGGTTGCCAAGGGCACATGTGTGAGTTCCTCTGTACGTGACCTCAAAGATGGTGGGATCATCATCAGATCTCTGGACTTGCTTTGTAGCCCAGCAGTTCTGAGTGTTCCGGTAGGTGCATCTGTAATAGCTTCTGCAAAAGCAAACCATCTCCCATCAGAAATTTTACTAAATAGAAGTGAAGATATTTATAGGAAAAGAAAATTTTAGGGACTCCAATGAACTAGTCAAAAACAGAATAGCCTACTTTCTTTTCTTGTTTTTTTTTTCTTTCTTTCTGAAACTACAGATCCCAAAGGGTTAAAAAGTTGGTGTAGCTTTTTTTTATATGTTTAGTAGAAGAAACTGCTAGCAAATGATTGAGATGAGTGACTCCAATGACTTCCAAGAAAGAAAAAGGGTCTTTCCAGCAGGATAAGAGAAAAGACTTATCACCTAGGATATTTGGCGCCGAGGATATCTTTCTGCCCATATTTTCTCCAGCTGTAACCATCGTCATGAGGTCCCTCCAGCAGGCTTTCAGAACTAACTCTCACCTGATCCGTCCATCTAGGCAACATCTTTCTGCAAAACCCAATTCCAAAAACATGTTCCAGGAAGCATTAGCACCAAATTAACCATAAGTTTGCAATAAGAGATACGAGAATTTCATAACTTGTAGCTTGCAAATTCACCTCTTCTTTGAGACATCTCGGATATCCTGGTTGTCCTTTTCAAGGTCATCACTCCGAGGGCTGCCGTTTATGGATAGGGGAGACTCTGGCACTCCAGATGTTGCTCCACATTCTGTTGTGGCTGTCCCACGGGCCGATTCATTTTCAAAATCAGAAGAGCTTTCTCGTAGGAAGACAAAATCTTCTGTACTAACAAGTCCCTGGACTCAACAGAAGATGCTGTTCCCAAATATACCCTTAACTGTTTTGCTAATTCCATTCCTTGAACCAGCTCACCGATCAGTGTTTCCTGCTCCCAGTTCCATCCGTGCTCCATTTTTTCCTTCTGCTACAATTTTCACCGCACGATATAACGGGATATAGGGCGATTCCTTCTTTGAAATTTGGAAGTACTAAATCATAACACCACCACTTCCAATACTAGACTGGGTAAATTTGTGTTATCAAGAAGCAAAAGCTTTCCCCTAAGGAACACAAGCAGAAGCAGCCAAAGGGATTGAAATAACCTGAATGGTGAAGAGCAAGAAGCAACAACCATGGAAGTTGGCCTGAATGAAATTTGTATTATGGAGCCGAAAAGTTCAGCTGTTAAAAACTTGTTTATGTAGAGCTTAAGCGAAAGGGAGAGTGGGAGAGTGAAAGCCCTTGGTTTGAAGAAGAAAATTGAAGGCTTGGGTTTATAAAGGAGCTCCTTAAGATAGAAAACGTTGTGGGAATGTAGAAAGTTTGAAGGTTGACCAAAAGAAACCGAGTTTTTCAGCATAGACCAGTCTTTGGTCATATGATAAGAAGTAAGAGTGGAGTGTGAGGACTGAGGGGAGGTCCAAACTCCAAATTTTGACCAATTCTTCCTTCAAATTAATTCTAACGTGGCCCCCCCTTTTGTTTTCTCATTTGTCGTTTTATGACACGAATGATTGAGGTTAAGACGAGAAACGAATAGAGAATTAAGAAAGTCAGGGTTGCAGCTCGATAGAAGAGTTGGACCAAGAAGTTTTCAGACCATATTCCGCGTTCTTGCTCTTGCCTTGTGCTTCTCCAAGTGAGGAAAATGGGAGCTTACGTGCACCGAAGATGCCATCTGCACCCACTTCTCCATCTGCTTATCCCTGTTAGATTCTTCACGTGACTTTTAAGTTTTCTAGTTTCTTAATGTGATTTTCAATTTTCTATGATGAATCTTAACTGTCGAGAACATGCATAAACGTAGATTGACTCAGTCTGGCCATGGTTGAGCCAACCCTGAATTCCTTTTCTAGAGGGATTTGCCCCTGTTTCCATGGTCAAAGAAATTCAACACGATGCATGCACGGTAACATATTTGGAAGCCGCACAATTCTTTTTAATGCGAAATTTTCCAAAAGAACCCAACTCTTTTGTAGTCTTTAAGATAATTAAAAGCTTCATCAAAGGCAGGAATTTCACCTGGATGGTAGCCACCAAGCAACATCCTTAATTTCAAGGGCCCCTAAGGCCATTGTCTTGAATTAGGAACCTAGCCCAACAACCCTCTCTAATTAATACATAGATTAGAAAGTGACTAAACGACAGGTTTTACTGTGATTATTAAGCCTATTAATTCGATTAAGGTTCTGTCATTTTGGGTCCTTTGTTTATCTTTGTATTGTTGAGCTTTTCCTTCAATATGTGCCATGAGATGGACATCACCTTGATGAATGGAATTGCAAGTGTCCCCTCTGAGACATAGTGTAGTATTAGGAATAAACTTCGTCTTCATTAAATTGAATTCAGAAAGCAGAAGAGAGACAACATTTTGTTTGTTGGGTCTTCAATGTGAAACCCGCAAAGTCAAAACAAATGAAGGGATTTATTAAATTCAGAAACTAGCTACGCCTCCTCGTGCACAAATCTTTTGGACTTGATTTCTTTTTTGCAGTTTGCATATACATACAATTGTTAACAGAGTATTTCAATAAAATAGCTTTTTATTTTTTTTGTTTAAATTATGGAATTTACACACAAATGATTTGGGGTTGTCAACGGGGTTGAGGAGAGTTTTCAATTAGACCATTTTTAAGTATTAAATTACAATAAAGATTAAAGCAAATCTAGTAGGTACAAGGGTACCTTTGGCAATTGATATATATATATATATATATATGTATGTATATCAATCATAGAACTCAATAAGGGTCAATTTTCTCCATTGATATGTCATCTTCCGAGTCAAAAGTCTCCTTAAATTAGATGTTGTGAAATATTTTACTATTTGACTGCTCATTGGTGTAATTTTTCTTATTATTTTTCCATTTCAATTATTTAGTTTCTTTCATCAAATTTTTGATAGGGTTATGTAAACTCTTTTGGTAAGATGTTCTTGAGCAAACCACTTAAAATCAATAAATTTTGAAATAAATTAATTACTTCCGTACTAATTATGTTAGGTATATCAACATATAAGATAACTTAATTCTAATTTTATTATTTGACAAGATATTTGAACCTTATATATATTGGATTAAAATTTTTTACACAATTTTTTAATTTAAATAAAAAAATAAGAATAATATTCTCAAAAGCTGGTAGTTGAACAATAAATTTTTGACTAGGATGGTCACAAATGACTAGCATTAAATTTAAAAGCAAAAGGTTTTTCCGAAGTTAACATTTGAAAAATTCAAAAGGTTAATCCGCTCCTCTGGTAATTATGGTAACCGCGTTTTCGTGGAAGATAATGGGGTTGGAAAATGACGTGAAAATGGTCCATGGTTAGTTAGTACCAAAAGTTTTTAAGCGACAACCAGGCTCATGCCCAAATTACCCTTAAAGAGTCTTGACCACGCTCTCATGGATGTTGACTTTTTGCATCACAACTTCTCCTTTTCTTTCCCCTTTTAAATGTTTTCTGGACCAATCCCTTTGCCACCCAAGGACTAGTATTTGAATTTTAATAATAATAATAATAATAATAAGAATTTTATATGACTTATTGGGTTTTTTTGGTAATTTTTAATCAATTCTAAATGAGGTATGTTAATTCCCTTCAAAACATAATTTTATTTTGGAAAGTTTCCTTGAAAATATAGTTGAGATAATTACAACGTCATTCCAAAGTGTCATTTTCCTCCTTGACTCAGTCACCGGGTTTGTGAAACTTATCCCAATTAATTGATGTACAAATAAATATAACTTGTTGGAGTCTACGTCCGAGGAGTGAGTGGCTGTCTTTGCTCGGTAAATAATATGGCAGCCGGTAGCTATTCGTTTCCATGTTCACGCCGCTGGTCCAAGTTCTGGTCGGTATGGCTGTGTATGGCCAATTGACTGGAGTTGGGGCCCACGATGCTTGGCAAAGTATGGCACTTGTGCTTTAAATGTGCAAGGTAGTGTTTGTTTGTTCTGGAGGACATGCACTGCTTTATATTTATATGCCTTGACTTTAGGATATGCAAAAGCGAACACAGATGTAATTTCTTCGTGTGTGTGTGTGTGTATAGCTTTGCGCTTGGGATTAAAGTATGAGTATCTGTATTTGGTTGATGAAATTTTAAGAGTATTGCTTGAGTTTTGCGAGTTCGCCTGCTTATACAATTAAGCTTTTGTTGAGTTGACAGTTCAATTAATCAATAATTAAACATCATATATACATGACAATTCTCACGTTGATTGATCTATCGATTACTTGAATAGTTAATTATAATCTTTAAAAAGACAAACATTTCAATCAACCCACAACTTGATATTAGCAATTTAGGTGAATAGAACATCCAATATATGAATTCAACTGATAAGCACTCAACAAGGAAAAAGGATTATACAAGAAGAATATGGAAGCAGCTAAGGAAAGAAATTGGAGAAGAAATCTGGGTAAACCCGTGGAAGAAAAAGAACTTCACGAAAATTTGGCCTTCTCTTCATTCCTTTTATCAGCAAACATCTCACCATGCCTCATTATCCAAAACCTCTCTATTTCTTCTGCTGTACGCTCCGGAATTCTTCCAGCTATCAAATCCCACCTGTTTATGTAGAGTTAATTAGCATGAACAAAGAAAAGAAGACTCCTTGAAATTAATCATGTCCGAACTGAGAAGCAATAAGCTCTGAGAAAAAAGATAAACCAATAGTCTGATAAATTTGGAATTTGATGGGTCTATGTCTCAGCAGTAAGTACAGGTAAATCAGTGGGAGTTTGGTCAAGCAGACATTGATTATGAAGACATATATACATGTAAGGAGAAAAGGGGAACAGAAACGAGATATATACATGTTTGGGACAAATCCAGAATTTCCTCCGGTTGACATACAATAATGCATAAAGCTGATGAATGTCCTCGGCTTATATGCAGAACAAAGGTAGAATGCCTGCCTCGTAAATTGATCCTCTCTCTCCTTAGAAATTGATTAACCAAAAAAATAAAAAGGGGTGGGGGAAGGATTTAAGCATTAGGAATTAAAATATGCGCACGAGGACACTTTTGTATATCCGGTTCCTAGTTTCTCCCATGGTTTAACAATATTGTAAAATATGCGCATTGCCCGAAACCTGTTCTTTGTCGAGGAGTAATGTTTATCTAGTCCCCCAAGAAAAACTGATCATTGTCTGATCTTTCCATATAAAGCAAACTCCAGAGAAAGTACTGCACGTTGGCTGAAAATTACTCCATTGAGTCCGTCAAATCGTGTTGCCTAGCGGCGTGCTTCCATGCAATTATTCCCGAGCTTCACGTTTTCATCTACTCTCCTCTGCACTCCGGATCAAACGGCACGCCCTGATTTTCCTGGCTTTCTCTTCCTTCAGCATCTCTTTCTCTCACGCATGCAACCGAGCAGGGCCACAGAGACAAACAAGACCACGTCTATGCATGTTATAGAAGCCAATCTACTGGGTTTAATTTCATTATCATTTTTAGTTTTCATTAGAAAGCTAAGTTGGTATAGAATCTGTTTCAAGTGTAGTGCTGAAAATGTTTTAACAAAGCCAAGGAAAACTTCGTCAGATGAATAATGTTTTACCTGTCTCCAACCAATCTGTAGATTCTGTATACAAGATCTTCTTCTTGTTCAGTCATCTTTATGAATTCCCACTCGATACTGCTTACTTCTGCACCAGATCATAAGTTGAAAAAAAAAAAATCTTAAAATTGCTTAGCGGTAAAGTCTCTCTCACTGTACTATTGTAAAGTCAGGGATGAAACAAAGTCAAGATGCATTATCCCAGAGAAAAGGATAACAAAAGTTAGGGTAAGTATGCAGGCAAAAGAATCAAATACCTTCCGAGGTGGATTTTAAGATCTTGGCTTGTTTCTGGGGACGCTCATCCATTTTCTCCACACAACATATAGTAGAAAAAAGAGCAATGCACTCTAACTGGCTAGAAAGAACAAGATAAGAGAGGAGAAAGGATCAAAGGCGCTGCACTCTGAAAGTAGACGTAGGTTGAAAGTATATATATAACAGAGAGAAGTTGATCAAACAGTTACTGAAAATATATATATATTTGTGGTGAAGGAAAGCATAAAATATGGGGAGGGAATCAATTCAAGGATTGGACAAACTAAATTGAAGTGTGGGGAGCATTATGAAGAAAGAGACTGGTGAGACAAAATTGAAAAGAACTTAGGTGTATCATTCCAAGAGCTTCACGGACCGACGGGTGCAACTTACCGGTGGGGTAACACAGGTTGACTTGTAGTTATTTTCCACTCGGTTGAGTGTTCCTTCTTTTGGGAAAGTGGGTTTCCTTGGAAAACGCCCGAGCCCAAAGTAGATATAATCATGCTCATGCAAATTTTAGTGGATTCGTCCAATCATCATTAGACCGTTCACCCTTTTCTATTGGTTTACTAAAGATTTCAGAATTTTTTAAAACATAATACTGACAAGTGATAATATATCTAAGGACGAATGAAATATATAACCTTATTGGTCATGTTATTAGCAGCTGAATTTTGCTCCAGTGAGATTAGATAGAGATTGCCGATGAATATCCTGGAGGCCTCTTACGGACTTGACTGTAAAACAAATTGACCACCATGATTGAGCTCCACGATTCTTTTTAGACGTTTTCAATGCGCCAACGACGAATCTGTTTGAATGAAAACAGGAGATGAAAGTTACGTTGGGTTTGATACTGACCGCAAAAACAACACATGGAATCTGTTCTGCTGGTATTTGTGATTAAAAGGCGACCATACCCAAAAGGTAGATTCGGAGTGTGATGTAAAATTGAACGAATCTCATTCGTTCCAAGCCTACAAATAGGCTCGAAAACTGCTTTGTAACACCAAGGAGCCATAGAGAGAGCTCAAGAGAAGTCCTTATAGGTTAGCAATTTCTTATTAGCCTTCCTATCTTCCCTGGTCCATTGCAATGGCTTCAGTCCAATGCTGCAAACCTGCAGAGAAAAGCTGCTGCCACCAGGGACACCAAGACCACTCATTAAGCCAGAAGGTGTCCGGCATGGCTAGCTCAATCTTCAAGGGCCATGGAAGCCACCACAGCGATGGCCAGCCTACCGAATGCTACGGCCAAACCCAAGGGCATTGCCCACATCACAGCACGTCTCACACGAGCCAAAACCAGTGCATGAGCCAGACTAATGGCCACAAAACTCAGCACGATGCATCCGGTACTGCCATGGCTTGCCAGGGTAAGACCAAAAAGAGGGGTGAGCACAAGAAGAGAAGCCTGCTACAGAAGATCAAAGATGGCATTTCCGGTGACGACAGCAGCAGCAGCAGCAGCAGCGACAGTGAGAGTGACGATGAGAAATGTGGGACCAAAAAGGCAAGTTATTGACCAAACTTTAAAGCTCAGAAAAGTTGGGTGTTTGATAAATTAATACAAATTTTTTTACCATGAACCTTTTCCTGAATTCTTACCGGTATCTAATTCTGTGTTTTGCAGAACTGAGAGGACCAGTCCGGGGGGATCCATCATCAGTTATATAAAGCTTCCACGTAGTATAAAGTAAACAAGATGCGCTAATGGAATCGATAAAGGTCCATGTAGGATGGCTGGTTCTATGGTGAAGCAATACAGCTTCATTTAAGTGTGGGATGTCCTATGTAAAAGTGAACTTCTGTCTCTAATAAATAGCAGTAATACATATTTTCTATGATAAAGAATGGTGCAAGCAGACCCTTCTCTCGAACTCCTAATGATTTTGCACGGATGGATGAAGTTTGGACCAAAACGTACATAACGCTCTTGATAAGCAAAGTAATATGGTTGGAAGCCAGCAAACTGCAAGGAGAGAGGCTGCTGTAAACGTGAGCAGCCACATTCCTTTTACTAACATAGTATCAGGGACTATCCAACAATCTGGGCCAACTTCCTTATAAAACTAAGCCTTTCGATGACATAAGATAACCGACATTTTAAGCAGAAGTAAGTAAATTGGATGCTTACATTGATACTGTCAAAACAATGATTGTAATGAAGGTATAAATCTTTTCCCCCTGAAGAGAAGAGAAGATATCGACTGAAAGAGTTGTTTTGATCAAAGTAAGTACGCTGAATTCTCACCAAATCCTGGAGTCCTCAGATTTTAAAGGACTCAAATGTTTTGATTTGCTTCTTTGGCAATCTCGAGAGATCAATTACAGTTTTATTTTGCAATTCAGATTCTATGATCAACAGTTCTAGTATGGATGGTTTGATGATAATGATTTCCAGTTCATTCCTAACTTTTCCTATTTTAGTATGGATGATGGATATTTATTTTGAGGTAATTTTTGCATGCACAGGTGGCCATGAATATTTTCTGCCCCTTTGCATTTTTCTGGTGTTTTGTGGCTGAACTGTGCTGCCAGTTAGGACCCAGGGGACTAGTTGTTTTTTCGCGGCTGACCCATTTGGTCTCTTTGTAACAGGGGATTAACAGCTGAAGGGATTTTCTCTACCCTCTGCTTTTTACTGGCAACCCCCTTCCCAGCTCTTTCAATGAAATTTTCATGCCCTTCAAAAAAAAAAAAAAAGTTCTAGGCTTTTTATGTACCATGTACCAGTCAGGAGTCCTCACCACTTTACCAATCCAGCATACTAACTTGGTCTTCAACCATAAAAAAAGCAACATGATCTGCATTAATGTGCTGCAGGATTGTTAAAAGGAGAAGAGGGATATCTTCTACAGGTAATTACTATCTGTTTAAGAACAAACTTGAAAAGAAAACAAAAAATAAAAATCATTCAATGATCAGATCACATTATCTGCTAATTTCCCATTTCACATGTTCTATGGGATAACGCGAGACGGGATATGAAACAGGTGCAGCGGACAAATTCTTTAGATGAAAGACTACCAATATCAAAGTTAATATCATATTTTCTGTAAACTCGCAGCGGATCCAATTTCTTTCGATGAAGAATTTCCAATATCAAAGTTATAATTTCCTCTACTAATCGAACCACTTGGGCTTGATATATATATATATATATATATATATATATGTATATATCCATTCCTCGCCATTATTGACCTATACATTTCACATACGTATGACTCTCATTTGCAACAGTAAACTGGCTCAAGGAATTTGAAAATGATACGTGAAAAATATACCCTTAATGATTTCTCCATCTTTGTTAAAAAAGAGTGATCCAAATTCCAAGCTCCTTTCTCCCAGAGTATGACAAAATTTTGGATATTACTCAAAAAAAATGCTAACGCTTATTAGTAATGGAAGTTATTAGTAATTAATTGTCAGTAGTAGGCATAGAATCTAATGATCACCACAAAAAGCTCATATGTGTCGCTGTCTCATTTGTTATCATATCATCTCCTTGACAAAGAGATTCTTTCCAGAGAAAATGGATGGCTACCCATTCACCGCTTTTGCTGCTCAAGAGCAAATGTGATTGAAATATATTACATATTCAATTACAAAGATGCCATCGGTCGAGATGTGGAATTTATTCTCTGATTGTAATGAATTCTTTTCCTTGTTTTAGATATATTTTCCGGTCATAATCTATGTGCGCACCGAAAGGGAAATTCCTCTATATATATATATATATATTTTGCTCCACGAAGTAAAATCATCAAGCAATAGCAAATTTAAGAGAGTCGGTGAGAACTCTAGAGAATTAGCAGCAGCAATGGCCTCAGTGCAGTTGCACAAAACAACCGAAAAGGGCTTGAATCAAGGATATTATGGTGGCAGCTCATTCGGCCAGAAAGTGTCTGACATGGCTAACTGGGCATGCAGGGCAACTAAAAGGGAGAACAAATACCAGGGACCCCAGAATGGCTATGCAGTGGCTTACAGCGAAAGTGAATGCTATAGCCAAATCCAACACCCCACCCATGGTATGAAAGAATTCCAGACAGCTTACGCCCATGGCCGAATTTCGGGATGAGTACGGCCAATCTTATGGCAGCCACAAGTCCCAAAATGGCAATGCAATGTCCAAAACAAAGGTTCATGGTCCTGGAGATGGCTTCGGCAACCATTTCAGCGACGGGCATCAGATTAGGCCCGGAAAAGGCCAAAACCATGGTTATGGTTCAGCCCATGGTAACCAGAAAAATAGTGGAATGGGCCATGGCTTCAGCAATCTCGCAAGCTACGAAGCAACTGAAGCTTCTGGCTATGGCTCAACCCATGGCAACCACAAAAATGGAATGGGCCATGGCTTCAGTAATCACGCAAACTATGAAACAACTGAAGCTTACGGCTATGACGAAAGCAATGGCTATGGAAATTGTGCAAACAATGGAATGAAACATAGCCCAGCACACCGCCGCGGCAAACACTCTGGACAGGGACAAGAGTTCGTCAAGACCCAAGCTTACGGTCCTGGCAACAACATGGATTATGGTATCAAGGAAACAGAGACACGTCATTATGCCAAGACCGAAACCCACTATTCCAATGAGTCTCACTACTACGGCGGAGGCCGTGGATTCCCTGCTGGAAATGGCTCTCATTGCATTGGGCGAGCTGGTTGTGCCCCAACTTGCAACGGTAGGAAGTGCCACGGAAAGCCCAAAAACATGGGCGACCACCCTGTCAGGGGTCTCCTAAGCAAGATAAAGGATGGCATTTCGGGTAACCGCAGTGACCATTGCAGTGGCAGCGACAGCGACAGCGACAGCGATAGTGATTGTGACGAGTATGGGAAGAGGAAGGTAATGATCCTATCCCCCTGAAACAGAGCTCTTCGGCTTATCTCATTTTCTATTTTTTATTTTCGTTGCAAAAGGGCAAAGGATAAAACTAATGATTTAGTGATGGTTTGGCAAACAGGTCTGGGTAAGCAAAGCAATACGATGAATTCAATACATAAACATGACGGAGATGACGGCGAGATCAAAGCAAGATGACGTTTCCCAATAAAAATCAGACTGCCATAGCAGAACAATAGAATAAAGATTCGCCATGTGTTGATGTTTTCATGTTATGTAAAATGATAAATATATAAATATATATATATATATATATATATGTAGGAGTAATGATAAAACCTCTGGATGAGTTGGGTTGAGTTGGGTTCTTCTTACTTTGTTGATTCCCCTGTATAAAATGTCGTAAAATGTAGCCCTAACCTTCACTCACAATGCAAACATCCATCCCAACGACCTCCATGAATCTACCAGCAAAAAGGCATCCTACTAAACTATGTTTATTTAAATAAAAACAAAAAACACCAACCAAATAAACTAAAATAGTTTTCAGTGAATAACCATTCTGGGTTTACACTTAGAAGAATAGTTGCATCTCAAGTCCGAGTTACTGTCTAAGGTCAAAAAGTGGCCCCATTGCTAGAGTCATTCAGTCGATAGATATGTCGAACCCACAAAGTCAATAATAACAGAACATTAGAATGCACATGGAAGCAAAAATGCAATGAGGCCTCCTTCTGACACAAATAAAACACCAGCGAAGACATACTCCAGTCGAGCATTTCTCCCAAAGAAACTACAGATCCTACCCCAGGGTTAATCCCTCCTTTCCACCAGAAATAAATAAATAATATAGAGCTCAATATCATATACTGATTCAGATTTTGATATATCTCGTTGGTTACAGGACATTCCATAAGAACCATCATGCAATGGCAGTTCTTGTTCAAATTGTGCTTGACATTATCTACCATATACTTACATTTCACACCCCTGGCAGGGCTTCTTGTGCACAATAAAAACATTTGTTGGTAGAATGAGTATTTTATTAAATAATTATTCTTACCTTATTTTCCATAATATAATAATAGTCACTACTAACCTCCCTCATGGTAACAACTATTTCCGGTGAATGACGAATAATGTCAAGTGTTACAGGTGGTTTTGGGCTGCTGGGCGTCATGCTTTGCTGGATGAACGCGAACAGCAGCCGATAAGGATAGCTAGATCGGCTTGCAAACTCATCAAAGATTCAATTACGCTAATATAGTTATATCAAAGATTCCAATATCCGACCGGAAAACTGTCTAGATGAGTAATGTGAGAGAAAATAGAAAAGAATGAGGCAAAAAAAAATATAAAATATTTTTCTACTAAATAAAAAGTATATGTTACCATTTTGAGACTAATTTTAAAGAGAAAAAAGTTACATTCAAGAATTTATAAAAATTAAAAGTTAAAATTTCATGAGTTAAAATAATAGTTTTATACTTGTTCCTGTATATTCTTTGATATGATCATAACCATCCAAACATGTTGGAAACTTTCCTCCTTTATCTCACTCGTATGTCACATAATACACTTAACTGCCCCATTAACAAGAATCTATAATCATGCCCCATATTGTGCACAAAGATTTGGAGAATTTGGCTTCATACCTACACAAGGATCCCAAAAATAAGTAAGCTACAACTGCAGATTAAGGTTCCAAAAGGTTTCAAACACTACGAGAGTTGTGATTTATATACACACTCAAGGTGCATATTTACAAATTCAGAATCAAAATAACCTTGAACAAAATCCCGTCAAAATGAACAAAAAATCTAACTTCATCTAATTTTCCAAAACAGAATATCAGAAAAAGATAAACCTAATTATATTCTTGCTGCAGACATCGCATTAAGCATCTTTGCATCAGCACTTTTGAGCATATTTCATATAGCCAAGAAAGTGTAGGTGGGACCAAATCCAGTTCATCTCCACCACCCTACCAACTTGCAAGTCATAAAGTTCAGTTCAAAACGGAAACCAAGTGTAGAGAGGGAGAGAGATTAGCTTAAAAAGTCAATTCAAGATTACACATTAATGTACTTTAATACCATATAAGCACTAAAGAATGCTAAATGATCAAGTTACCCTCATATTATTATAAAAAGTTGAAGGGCAACCTCAAGATCTTCTCCTACCCTTGGACAAAACAGGGATAAATAACACACTCTACAGTTACCTCACAAAAATCGCAAAAATATAGAGGTAAGGAAAGGGAGATTGCATATAAAGTTACATCCCAACAGAAGGGCAGGTTTAAAGCTCCCAATACTAGTGAAATCAGCAACTTAGGGACGCCCTAAGTCTACCCTGCCGAAACAACTAAATAGGAGTATAGCTGCACCCAAATGAGATACGAAAAAGAATGTAGAAAAAACCAAGGCTGAACATAGAAATCAACACTGAAATTTGAGGTTTAAGTAAGTTGCCAAGGAAACTACAAACTCACTCTACAGATTAATCAAAAACCTGAAACTCTTCAGGTAGCAAAACTTCGGACATCTTACCACTGAAATGCCAAGCACAATTTGTGCACTGACACTGAAAGCAGAAACAAAGCCATTATTCAGAGACAGTCAATGCCACAGTGCCCAAACCTACTAAATGAATTTGCTTACAGAAGAACAAAACAGAAATAGGGAGCAAAATCAGCAAAAGAGTTTCACTCCAAACTTGAGAAGTCACACCCACAGATCTAAATACAAAACACCTGAGAACCTACACAACAGCACAAAAATCCTACAATTGCAGCTCTTTGTTAGGAGGAATAGCAGCTTAACTAACCAACTTCCAAATTCCCAACAGATATGAGCACAAATATTACAAGAAAAAGAAAAAAAATGAAGAAGCTAAAAGTGAAAAGTCCTGCAAAAACCACAATGACCAGAGCAAGAAAGGTAGACTGCAATATTAATACAGCCAGCAACACACAACTTGATCTTCTCTGGTTCTCTCCCCTAGTTCTGTTTCACCCTCGATTTCCCTTGTTCCTCCCTATTTGCTTCTGTCTATTGCTGATTTTCCCCCTAAATTTCTATTTTCTATCTCCTTCCCCTACTGGTTCTTACATCAAAATATCACAGAACTTGAAACTCTGTAATAAAAGCCATATGCAGGTTCTCAACATATACCACTCTTAGAACTACACGGACACAAACATAAAAGAAAAGTAATGTTCAAAAGTGATCACTGCCATTCAAACAACAAGATAAAAACCTGTTTTTGAAATATTAAGTGAAGATGCTACCTACAATCATAAAACCATTCATAAAGATATCAATCACAACAAGCAGAAAGTGTCATCAGAACTGCACCAGCTAGAAAGGACATCCGCATTCTACTGAAACTAGCTAGTATATATACTAATGACATCAGAACGTGAAACTAACACATAAACCAGCTCCTACTTTGAGTTTAGGGTAAATGTAAATGTAACCTGATAGAATTGAAATGGTCATCCTCCCTTCCTCATCTACTTACCTAATCCCTCCATCCCAAGTTCATCAACAAAGATACAAGCTATATAAGATCTCATTCTCCCTGCGTAATGCTAATAATCCCTAACAGCAGCCTCCGAAGACCCAAGAATCAAGAACATGTGAGGGCAGAAAAAAGCAACCAAAGCAACATACTGCTTGAAAACCTAAGAATTAAAAAAAATAAGAAACAAAGAATACAAAATATGAAGATCATTTGACAAAACAACCCTCTTGCAACAGCTGTACAATATCCTTCATCCTTTCTTCTTTTAGTTTTGAAAAATGATGACATCAACATCTAAAATAATAAAGGGTAGATAACATCATATTATGCTCAGTAACGTTACTCCACAGGATCCTAAAAGCTCCAAAACGAAAGACTACAAATAAATACAATAAGAAGGAAACAAATCTCATTGAGAGTTGATATAGTATTCTAAATTCAAAAATCCAAGAGACCCTTATCAAACAAAACCATAAAAGATATTGAAAGCATTAAAAACTAAGAGGCCCTGAAACAAGGGTGGAAAAGTATCAAAAAATAAAAGAAAACATATGGAACCATAGTATAAATTGTGCTATGTGCTGAAGGTAGAATCTAAAATAACAAAAGGGTCAATAATGCTCAGTAACATAACTCCACAGGATCCTAAAAGCTCCAAAACAGAAGACAATAAAGATATACTATAAGAACCACGAAGCAGATCTCCTTGAGAGTTGAGACAGTATTCCAAAATTGAAAATCCAAGAGACCCTGGTCAAACAAAACCATAAAAGAAAAAACTATGTAGATACAATTTCTAACAACATGCTTCATTTCTGCTACATAGACATACAAAAACTATCAACTTTCAAAACTATGCAAAGATCCAAATCAGATACTGAGAACCAAGAGGAAAACAAAACCTCAACTGACAGAACTTGTAAACTCTGCGTGGATCTCTCCAACCTACAAACACAAACAAATCTGAAAAGAATATAAATCCCACAATAAGAACTCAGTATAAATGCCAGGCATCCCTTTTCAGTTGGATGAGTTCCATTCAATTTCCTCTCTAAGTAATATGTTTCGGACATTTATATGAACCAGTTAAAAGTACACCTCAAAAATCCAAGAAATGAAAGCACAACTGACATATAAATTAGTGGCAGAGCTTGAATGAGCAGAAAAGTATCAGCTACCTACAATCACAGAAGGGCAGATATAGATATCAATTACAAACACAAGAAAAATGTCTGCATAAAATTCCTGTCTCAACTAGCAAGGACATTCACAATCTTTCAAAACTAGCAAGTGATCACCGGAATATTTCCAAACCTATAAAAACTATCACACAAACCTGTACTTCTCGAGTTATTTAAGCAAATTTTGGGTAAATGTAAGACAGAGACAATTAAAATGGCCTTCTCATCTCTTACCTAATCCCTCCTTCACAAGCTCCATCCCAAAGAGATAACAGAACTATATAAGATCTCATTCTCCCTAAATATCTTAATAATTTCTAACAGCAGCCTCTAGAGACCCAAGAATCAAGAACACGTAGAGTGCAGAAAGCAATCAAAAAGCAATATTCTACATGAAAAACTACAAAAAAAAGAAGTCTCAAACAAAGAATAAAAGAAGTGAATGAAAAACAATTAAGAGAAAACACACCCATTTCAACAGCAGCAAGATCCTTCATTCTTGCCCTTCCTGTTTTTAATTTTGGAAACTGATGATGCATCAGCATCTAAAAATAATAAAGGGTCAAAAAGTCGTGCCAT